CTTTGAAGCTATGTTTACTTTCACAAAATCAACTTTTGGCCTCCTCTGTGCCTGAAACGTCTTTTAACCTTTTAATCCCTAGCCCTATTTTTAGGCCTCTGCTCGAAAATTGCATAGCCATACTAAAAAGACTTTAGTTCTTTAACTACAAGGTCTATTTTAATAATATAATGCTAGAATACAGGTAACACTTGTGAGATGTGTTCAGATGTGAAGGTATTGTGTATATGTCACTGCTTAATGGTGACTGAAGATGGAACACAGCTCAAATTGAAAAGTTTCAGGTTCGCCTGAAAAAAAGCACTGAAAGCATGAATATATTTTTTTAATGATGCAGGTGTAAGCTAAAAACTCTCCCAAATCATAGCACAACATGACAGAGGGCTGTATAAAAAGATTTGGCTTTGATAAAGTGAAGCAAACAGACGTTGTCGAGCTTATTGTGTCAGAGAGGGCGTGGGAGGTCAAGCAGATTTGTCATTTTGGAAGCTGTTCCATTATACTGTTATCTACTATATAACTATATATTTCACTTGTTTTATCTATAATATTATTCAATCTATCCAAATACAAGCAGTTTAGAATCATTTTGAGAGCGGAGTCCTCTCTAAAGCCGGTCTGTGTCTTTGAGCCATGGAGCAGCCTGCCTGCCTTGTGTGTGTGAGTAGTGCTTTGTCACCCCTGTGATTGCCCAATCCCAGAGTGTGACGCCTCTTTAGACGCGCCAGAGTCCCATATATGGAGTGGTGCCAACGTGGGTTTGATTGACAGCCTCGTTATGGTAAAACAAACAGGAGCGCACCGTGCGTCGTGCTGCGTAAAATCCCTTCCCCCACGCTCAATCAGAAACACCTGTTTGCCTGCAGCCTTTGCATGGACATAAAACTGTGAAACACCTGTCAAACAAATCCTCAAAACCCGCATAACCAAACTATTTTCATGGTCAGATACCACTACAGCTAATTCGGTTGAACTGGCCCTTTAACTAAATGTTTACTCTCTGCCTTCGTAGTCTACTACTGGATATAACTGCCTTATACAGCCTAATCTGTCTGATTTTGACTATTGCTCCGATATTGGAACTGGAGAGGAAGACTTGAAGAACAGATCATGTGAAAATTGTGTCTGTAGTGTAAACTGGCGATCTAGAAATGGGGTACCGTGTTCTGTGGAAGAAGCACACGATTAGCTGATTTGTTAGCAAAAAATAATGCATAAATAGTAAATTGTGGAGTCAATGGCAAAAGACAAATATTTTTTCCACAAGAATCTCTAGCGATGACATCACGCACTGAGCTGTGCATTACACACATTATAAAGTCAGAAAAGGACTGAAAAAATCATAAGTTAAAAGATATCAAAAATATTATAACATACAATAATAGCTCAGGGTTTTCTCAACAGTTTAAAGTTGAAATGGTGTCTGTAGCTGAAAGTATGAGGAAGAAGGATTTGAAAATGTTCTCCATGGACATCCCATTCAAAATAAAATTGCAAAAATTAATAATTCAAAAAGTTTAAAGGTTAGAAATATGAAAAATGATTGCACCCCTCTCCTGAAAGAGCGGAACATTTTGATATTCGAACGGTTTCTGTAGCTTTAAAAATGTGGAAGGAGATGCGTGTGGAAGAAGTTGAATAAAAATTCGAAGAACAATACTTGGAATGCTGAATCCCAGGTTTCTGGGATCCAGAACCTCCCACGACCTGAAATGGGCCTCCAACATTGACACCATCGACACCAAAAAAGGCCCAGCAGAGGTTTCACTTCCTGCGCCAGCTCAGGAAGTACAACCTGCCTCAGGAGCTGCTGATTCTGTTTAACTCGTTTGTTCTCTGCTCCTCTCTCTCTGTGTGGTTTGGATCTGCCACAAAACAGGACAGAAACGGACTCCAACGGTCTGCAGAGAGAATCATTGGTTCTAGCCTGCCCTCCATCCTGAACTTGCACACCTCCAGAGTCAGGAAATGGGCAGGAAAGATCACTGCAGACCCAACACAACCTGTTCCAACTCCTCCCCTCTGGTAGGCGCTACAGAGCACTGTACGCCAAAACCACCAGACACAGGAACAGCTTCTTTCTGCTGGCCTTCACTCTGATGAACAATTAATCAGACATACTGCACCTCCATTTGCATTATTTGCACTATTACCACAATTCTGCATTAATATCCCAAATCCATTGTCTATTGTCATTGTTGTTGCTCTCATGTTTATATAAATTCTTCGATATACATTTATATTTGTATTGTACATAGTAGTTAAATGTTTATGCTTAGTTTCTCTACTTTGTTGTCTTTAATGTCTTTGTTTTTATATTTTTCTTGTTTATTTGTATATTCTATCTATGTGCGTTGAGAGCAATGTGTAAACCGGAGTCAAATTCTATGTATACATGGCCAATAAAGCTGATTCTGAAACCCCATTCAAGTGAATGGAGCAATTTAGCTAAGTTTTTTGCGATTTTTGGGAAAAAAGGCTGGATGAATCTCTGAGAAAAGTCACAGCCCACCATTCCCGATCACGCCGCACGTTTTGATGTATTTTTTTCCAAAAAGGCTGTAAAACAGCCTTGTGCATTACTGACTATAATCCTGCGGGCTTATAGTCAGTGTGGCTGTATTTTGCCTGTAGTCCTGGTCACATGCATACCTCTGGTTACATCTGTATCCTCACAACAAATGCTTTCTTCACTTGGCTCTGTCTGTCATTTCTCACAAATGTACCTGTAAAATAGAGAATACTCTCTATTTTACTCATGGTTCAGAGTTTATCATTATTATAAATACTGAGCTAATAATGAATAGCATTATTTTGTATCAGACAAAGCTGTAATCTTGGTTGCAGATGTTGTTAGTTTCACCCAATTTCTGAAATTCCTGCTGGAACATGTGCTGTGTTCACTTTTTGGTTCTTAAACTTTTAAGTAGGTAAATATTTAAAGTAAAATGTTCTTAAGCCTCCATGTAGAGACACACGGCCATGTGCAGCCATGTAGATGGTATTAATTGACAGGCAGCCCCGCAAACGCAGGCCAATCGGAGCAGACCGAGCTTTTTCGGGACAGGGCCTTAAAGAGACAGGCACTGAACCACAGCTTTTCAGATGGAAGGTAAATAGGCATATACAATATGAGAAGAATAAAATATTTTTTTAGCATTACAGCATACATGCTCTTGTAGAAAAAAAATCAAAATACATGTATGAACCTGAAAGATTTGAAAAATATGTGACCTTTCACAAGGGTTAAATATCTGTAAGCCACCAACCAATGGAATAATCATGAGCTCACATTCAAAGCCAACCCTAACCAAAATCAACTAGACTGTTTTGTCTGTTGAAACCTATAGGTTTCTTGGATCTAATATCTCCCAATCTGCAATCTTGTAAAAAAGCTAAATTACTTTTACCAATTTTACCAGAAATTTAAGATCCACATATCATGACAATGTAATTTTGAAAATCTTTTTAATGAAAATAGTCCTTATATATGACATTTTAATTCATAATCACTAGAATAATAGGACAGGTGTCTGCTGAGGACCGGTGTGTTGTCTTTATTGTTAAATGCAGACAAAAGGTGGAGGCATATCTTCAGGAATAAATCGCCCTTGATGCTGCTGCAGTGAGGCCTCCATCCGAATCCTTTATTCAACACCTTTCATGAACTCAAGGAACTCTGTCAGAGAGAATGCACAAAGTCAATACATACATACACATGTGTGTGTGTGTGCGTGTGTGTACGTACGCGTGTGTGTGTACGTGCGCGTGTGTGTGTGCGTGCGCGTGTGTGTGTGCGTGCGCGTGTGTGTGTGCGCGCGTGTGTGCGTGTGTACGTACGCGTGTGTACGTACGCGTGTGTACGTGTGCGTGTGCGCGCTTACGCGTGTACGTCTGTGCGCGTGCACGTGTGCGCGTGCGCATGTACGTCTGTGCGCGTGTGCGTGTGCGCGTACGCGTACGTGTGCGCGTGTACGTGTGCGCGTACACGCGCGTGTGTGTGCGTACGCGTGTGCGTACGCGTGCGTGCGTACGCGCGTGCGTGTGCGTGCGTGTGCGTGCGCGTACGTACGCGTGTGCGTGCGCGTACGCACGCGTGTGTGTGCGTGCGCGTACGCACGCGTGTGTGTGCGTGTGTGTGTGCGTGTGTGTGTGCGTACGCGTGTGTGTGTGCGTGTGCGTACGCGTGTGTGTACACGTGTGTGTGTGTGTGTGCGTGTGTGTGTGCGTGTGTGTGCGCGTGTGTGTACGCGTGTGTGTACGTACGCGTGTGTACGTACGCGTGCGTGTGTACATGCGTGCGTGCGTGTGTACATGCGTGCGTGTGTACATGCGTGCGTGTACAGGCGCGCGTGTGTGTGTGTACAGGCGCGTACATGCACGTGTGTGTACAGGCGCGTACATGCACGTGTGTGTACGTGCGCGTGTGCGTGTACATGCACGTGTGTGTGCGTATACGTGCGCGCGTGTGTGTATTTAATTAATTAATTATAATTTTTTTTGTATTGAAGATATGACATATGATTGATTCTCCTCATTCCAAAACCCAGTAGAATTGACAAGGTCAGGTGTATCACATCCTGAGCTTGAGAGAGCGATCATTCACGCTTTTCATATCATCCCGACTACAACACTGCAATTGACAAGGTTCAGTACAGTAACTCACATTACACCCTTTTTATTTTCCTTACATTGGCTTCCCATTAAGTTCAGGATTTACTTTTAAGGTTGTCCAGCCTTTCACGGATATTTCTATGAAAACAGCAATTTTCCTCCGTTCTAAAAAAAAATCCATCCACACAAGATGAACTATTATAACTTGGTTAGGGAACAAGAACCACGCCCCAAACATATCTCATTTACTCTGCACAAAGTATTTAAACACAACTGACCCATTGACTTCCTCTTTGACTCAGCTTCAACATCCTTCCCCCAACCCCTTTTTCTTTCTATATTTCTCACTCACTCACACGTATGATTACAGGAACCACAAGGGACTCTGCATAATCAGAGCTTCTGAAGAGACAGTCTCCACTCCCAGTTCCTACCAGCCACTGGACGTCAGCTGTCCATCATTACTCTCCTCCATCCATCATTCCAAGACCCGCTCCTAGTTTGAGGTGGGTGTGGTCACATGGCCACGGTGGGCGTGACCTCAAATATATTACTTTCAGTGTCAAAGAACAGTATAGTCCTGCAGACCATACACAACGCTTTGTTTGGATCTCATAGGGCAGAAATGATCCACAGGTATTTACCTATCCACTCCTGTCGGTACTGATAGGGGGCAGCTGTGGCTCAGAGTTAGAGTGGATTGTCTACCAATTGGAAGATCGGCACTACGATCTAAGACACTGAACCCCAAATTGCTCATGATTGCTGTGCTATCAGTGTTTGAATGGGTCCTGATGTGCAGGTGGCATCTTAAGTGGTAGCCATCAGTGTTTGATTGTGTGAATGGTGACTTGTAAATGGACTTGTAGTATAGCGCTTTTCTAGTCTTCCTTGGGTGACTGGCATGTAGTGTTAAAGTGATTTGAGTGGCTGGAAGACTAGAAAGGGACTATACAAATGCAAGTCCATTTACCATTACCATTTACTTCCAGAAACATTTTGCTGTTTGGCTGGATCTTCAGCAGGTCCCAAGACACTGGGCCCAATTTCAGCAATGGATGGTTTGATTTTGTACGGTCAATGTTTTAAATCAACATCGTAATAGCTATGTATCACCATTGTACACAGCTAAAGAACCACAGTCATAACTCATCTAGACTACAACAGTACCCGTCTGTGTAAAATACAGAAATAATATGTAACATTCAGTTTTAAGTTTTTAGGCTGTAACTAATCAAATCTCAGGATTAGTCTAATTTTCATTACAAACAGAACAAGATTCAGGATTCAGGACAACTGCTCCTTATTTGGGAATTTTCCCAATTGTTCTCGCATTCTGTTCCTCAATCACATTGCACATTGTGTAAACTGACAGCATAATTGAACAGAGAGCAAGAAACAATTTGCTTTGTGTGTTAAACTATAATAAAGGAGTTAAAAAAACTGAATTAGTAGTTCATTACTGTGGTCTTCTGAGAGGAAGGTAAGAGTACCTGTACCTTCATATGTAGTAAAAAGTCCTGTAAGCAAGGTTATTTAACCATGTCTGCCATTACTAGATGTATGTATGCCGCCTTTGTTTCCCTGTCTACACTCTGTTCTCAGTGTCAACACTGAGAACAGGGTTTCTAAAAATCTTCACTTTGGCTAGACTTTTTTAAAAGTTCAGTTTTCAGTGACCTAAATCGCCATTTGGGTGTGTAATGCCTAAAATGCATAGAAAAAACTGTTTACAAAAATACCCCTCTACTTGTGGACAAGGCCTTGATTTTCACATATAAAGCCCTGCACGGTCAAGTACCTGAGACCTTCTCCATCCTCATCTCACCTGTAGGTCACTTGGTTTTCTGAATCTTTGATTATTTTGAGTGTGACTCTCTCAATGACAAAGGAATGCTCATAAATGTTGTGGAAGTTGATGGCAAACAATGTATTATTTTGTTCAGTTTGAAGGATATGTTTCCTGCCAAATTTAATTGCAAATGTAAAATCTTTGCATTTGAACGTTGAAGGATATACAGTTGGTGTCTGTTGTGTTACTAATGTGCTTGCTCCCGTACCATCATAATCAATTTTTCCATCATTGTTTTTGTCCCCATCCTTCATCAGCTCCTCAATGTCATCTTCTGTGATGGCCTCTCCAGTGGACTCCAACATGGTCTTCAGCTCTTCTAAGTCTATGTAGCCATCTCCATTCCTTAACACAAAAGAAAGAAATCAGGTTTTATACTCATCCAGAATATCTTTTGAATGGACAGAACAGTTTAATATCAAACTGTTCTGACTGTACTGTGCTGAACCTGATCATGCCTTCTAACAGTGTATTCTAGTGAAGTTTTGGCTATTAAAGTCACCAAAAGAGCTTTGTTTGACTTTAGAAAATTTGCAAATAGCTTAATAATTCAAAAAGTTTAAAGATTACAAATATGAAGTCATTTCAATTAAAATATTGTCATTATTTTATGTTAGTATTATGTTGATTTATTTTTAATTAAGGTGGCTCAGCGGTAGAGCAGGGTCATCCTTTAATCAGAGGATTGGCAGTTCGAGCCCCGGCTCTGCTAGTCCATGTCGATGTGTTAAAGTGTTAAAGCACTTTGAGTGGTCGGAAAACTAGAAAAGCGCGATACAAGTACAGTCCATTTACCATTAACTCAGTAATGTGTCTTTTGAATTTTGGAATAGCTCTGTGCAGTGTGTGAAAAGAAATACAACCTACTTGTCAAACATGCGGAACAGTTCAGCCAACTCCTCCTCTGATTTTCCTTTGCTCTCCTCCTTCATGCAGCGGACCATCATAACCAAGAATTCATCAAAATCGACTGTGCCACTGCCTGTGAACACACACCATGCTGTTATAAAGACTCTATATCATATTGTTATTAGATTTCCCAAAGTCCAGTTTTCCTAAATTTGCACTCAAGTTGTTTTAATGTTGTTAAAATCCTTTTATTATACTCTATGGCAACACATGCTCCTGATGGGATGTAAACGGCTTACATACCATCCTCATCCACTTCATCAATCATCTCCTGTAGCTCTTCAGGGGTGGGATTCTGACCCAGCATCCTCATTACCTTCCCCAACTCTTTGGTGCTGATGCAGCCATCCTCTGCATCCTGGATAAAGATGTCAAATGCAGCCTTGAACTCTAGAAGGGAGAGGGAATTTAGGTACTCATAACTACAATCGGAGAAATCTATGTGCACAATGTAAAATCACTGTCCCAATTACTGGGAAAAGAATGGATTTTATTAAAAGAATAGCTCCACTACAACCCAAGAAAATAATAATTCTTAATTTATTCATATACCACTACTTAATTAATTTGAGTCTGAACATTAAAATACAAATATATTATATAAATGTCTAAAGGCAATCAAACAATACAACATACATTCAGAATAAAGTTTCTATCATTTAACGAAATGTCTGGAAGTTATTAAGAATCTGTTTTGAAATTACACACCTGCTAAGTAAAGAAATTACTAAAATGATGAAATGAATACATTAAGCAAAGAATGGCAGTTGTCCACTTAACAAATATGGGACGATAGGAAGCAAATACAGTTAATTTCCCACTGTTTGTTTCATCCACACCTGAGCAATGATTAAGATTAGTCAAATATACCAGTAATGCATTAAAAACGTCATTTTTGTGACGCAACCTTTGACGAAACCATTCGAAACCGAAAAATATTGTTTCCATTATCTTATTTTCTCATTGCACAGCTCCTGTGTTCCTCAGTTGCTCTGCTTCCAGTGCAGCTTGTTTTAAGTAGAGCTTTTATCCAATCAGATTTCACCTCTGTGTCTCTAGGTAAGAACAGAGGCCCAGGCCTGCAGAGTCTCAGGTGCATCTATGTGTAGTTTAAGTGAATGGGGACGATATTGTTGATTGTCATATTCTTCAACCAATCAGATCTTTAGTTTGACATGTTGGGCGTATTCTTTGACGTGTCAGCACCTGCTAGCCGGCCTATAATGACGTCAGCATTATGTGCAGCTCAGTGTTCATGTGTAGCTCAGCCGCGAGGTGCAGAGTGTGCTGTGATTGGTCAGTGGGCGAGCACGTGACTATCGTGAAACGAAACTTAACAGCAGAGGCTTAGTCGGGTAGTGAATCACATCACGTGATGCAGCTCAGCCAATCAAATATGGGCATTCTGACAGATATACCACACACCATGACACAGGGGGCTGAGACGAGGAAAGACATTGCAGAGCAGTACGTACAATGTTCAAGTTGTGAAAGTAAAATCTTAAGGCGATCCCTTTGGGCCACGACTTGTCATTAAGGAATGATGGTGGGTCCCACAGCCAGACCAGCTGAGAACCACTGTCCTCCAAGAGCGCAGAAAACATATTTTCCTGAATATAAGCTTCTGCATTTTCCAAATGCTCTAGTACTATTCAAACGTATTGTAAGTCTCGTACCGAACGGTACGTACATTTAATACGTACATAGTTACAGCCTTAAACTAATAACTGTGGCGCCATCATGTGGTTATAAGTTAGTATTTCAGCTGTAGGACAACAGTGAAGGCCTAGGTATAAAATGCACGGCCCGCCACTGGTTTCAACTAATTGTGAAAGTCAATGAAAATTAGACTTTTCTATTACATAGTATTGTTAGCAGTAGCAGCCATACTTGTAGTTAATGAGTATTAGCAGTTTAGTTATATGATGGTAAATATAGAAAATGATAGTATTAAGAATAAGTATTAGCAGTAGTAGTTTCCTCACCATTTTTCTGTTCCTCTGTCAAGTTCTCAACCTTAAGGGGAACAAAATCAGTGTGTTCATTTTATTTTACCCCTCTACAGTTGGAGTATAACTTCAGGTCTGCAACTGTACTGACATTCTGTAGAACAGTGCAGTATGGCTGCAATGTCAGACTGCTTTCCTCACGTTCTATTCTTGTGTGGCAGAGTACAAAAGGGGGATTTTGGACACCGGTGCTGGTGTCTGGCTGGGTCATTTGTTTTATGAGCCATCAGCTGTCCCTTCTCTTCTTTCCCCTGAACTGTCCAGTGGTTCTTTGTTATATTGTCAGGCACAGACATATGAACTAAACACAGCAGCCGGTTGCTCTGTGTTGTATCTGAGCTGATCACACCTGTTTTTTCAATGTGATACACGTTGAAGGAACACACAATGTCTTGTTTTTGTGTGTTTTTTCAATGTGATACATGTTGAAGGAACACACAATGTCTTGTTTTTGTGTGGTGTCATGAGTGATTCCATTCAGTTCAATTAGTTCAATATTTGGATATTTTCACATTTTAGTTATGTTTTGAAATGGGCTATTTCTCCGGCATGCTGTTCTTCGAGTTTACTCCATACTGATGGAATAATGTCTTGTTTGTTAAAGCATTCATATTTCCATCAAAAAATATACCAAGGACAGGATGTCAGCATCCACAACAAAAGTAAAGCCCTGACTACAAGTAATAATTAAAATAAATTCCATTTTAAAAAATCTATTAAATGACCCCTTCCTTAATTTTTCCTAGATTTTTACATAGCCTTATCTGTCCAATACAAGGACTATATACAGACACTGTAAAATATACCTGTTGCCTAAAGTCAAAGCTTCAAAATGTTTTATATTGCAATCTACATCACTTGGTATAGCTAGTTATTCCTTCTTCTCTGATATTAAGGTTCTTTTTGTTAAGGTGAACAAAATAACTTATTATTTCTGACAATACAAACTCATCCAAGCACAAATTAGGAGAGCATCCAGTTGACAGTCTCAACAATAATTTTGTTGTATCTTCATGAAGGTAGCAGTTTCTGCTTTGCTATTGCTTTTCATTTTATGTAGTTTGTGGGTGCTTTTTTTTATGAATGTTAAACTTGATTTAGGAATTACAGGAGCAGCTGTTACTGTTAGCAGCTGTCACAGTGGCTTCAAAATCTCCTCAGAAATAGCGTACCAGAAAAGACAACACATAAAATGTATTGCAAGAGCGTGTTTTTATCTTTTCTTTGTTGAAGCACAACACACAAGGGCAGGATCTGTTCCAGGATTATCTCATACATGATTTGGAGTTATTCACCTCAAATTTAATCATAATCAGAAAGAGAAATATAACGGCGCCTTAACAACGGTACTCACCGCTGCTTTATATACGTCATCCATGGCTGCTTGTCTGTCCCTGCCTCTGACAAACCACTGCACTCACTGCTGCACACAGACACAGACAAATACTCCTAGCAATAGCTGCCTCAGTCTTTATTGTTGGAGTGGGGCACCAAAAAAGCTCCTGACCCATCAAGGGTGATGGAGGGAGGAGTAACAGTGAGAGAGAGAGATCTAGAAATAGGAAATAACAGAAGCTACCCAACAATAGTAAAACATTGACAGCAGCATCTAAGAGGAAATGCTCTGTTTGATATAAGTTGTCTCAGTGATCAGTTGAGCTCATTTTGATGAAACTCCATGTGTAATTTTTACATTCTACCAACAGGCTAAATTAAAATGCGGAAGTCTCTCTATAGAGCCAGTGTTTGGTTTGTCTGTTCTGGGCTGCTGTAGAAACATGCCGGTGCTACATGGTGGACTCAACAGCCTTTTCTAAGTTAACGAAAAACACAATTCTTAGTTTCAGGTATACATTACACATTAAATTAAACATATGAATATATATTATATTTTATTTCTGCCGATAAATCCCACTAAATGTTTCACAATGTGCCTTTAAAGACTAGACATGAGTACAGGTTTGTTGCTCAATTATTCAGAATTTTGTAGCTCTTGTGTAGCCCATACAAATGTGTGTGTAAACATCGAACAAAAAGTTCGGAAATTAGTGTTTGGTAGATTATTTCTCTGTTGTAACTGAACAGAAACAATGTACTGTACAACCGCGTCATTGAACTCTTTGTAATCAAATAAAGGAGGCTATACTTTGTATTTATATAGTGAACAGCAGCTTTGGTCAGTGAACTGCTTTTGTTTTTACACTTGCAGTAGCATTACTACTGTGTTAATTTTTCTATCGTGTCGTTTTTATGATATGGTTGATATTGTTCCCTCTGATATGAATATTATTTGAATGGTGCCCTTGAGTGTGTGGTGGAATGCATGTTTTAGCGCCGCAGTTTTGCTGGCACGTGTTGTCATGCTTTGTTGTCATATACAGTATATGTGACTGGTTCTTGTGAGTTTGTTCTTGTCATTGTGTTAATTATATTAATTTTGAATATATGCATTGTCCGTTCACGACAAAACATCCCGTCATGCGCGTATTCATGTATCTGCAATCTGCAGTTATTGTATTTATAGCCCTCATAGGTGTTGACCTTTGTGAGGAATTTAAGTATTCTTAGTGTTTGAGCTCATAACAGAGTGCAGATGCTCGTTTCCACCCTTCACCAGCTTATACAGTGCTTAATATCCCCTCCTTATGTATTTTTGAGAAAAAGCAGTATGTATGTTATTTTGGAAGGTTTTCAATATGTTTGGAAAATTACATGATGACCTATTTTTATTTTATGGCAACCCTAGTGGTGAATATAAAATGTCACAATATATTTACTTATGGAATGTATTATGTTTACAATATGTTTACTTATAGAGGATATTATGTTACTATTAGTATAGTATATGATATTATATAAGTATATAATATATTTATGGTTTAACATATTGTTATATTAAAAATACTATATTAAAAATACTTACCTGTTTTTTTTTGTTGTTTTTTAATTATTATTATTATTATAATTTTTTTCCCATCTCAAAAGGCTCAAGGACATACACACGTACACACACACACATGTACACACACACGTACACTGTTCCCCACTGTTCTTGTCATCTTCTTGTAATGTATATGTTTTGTCTCTTGTCTTTCAATACACGGCCCGCCACTGCATATTGGTCATGGCTTTCATTGAAGCCTAAAGCTTTTTCGAGTTCATAGTGGTAAAATGTTCTTCAATAATGTCCTTTTGTCATCTCCTGGCCTTATTTAACAACTGATTAAGTTTTAAATAAGGCTTCCTTTTGTGCGTTTTTTAGCTCCATTCGGTCCTTAATTCAAAATGCTGCGTTTTTGCTATAAATGCATTCCATTAGTTCTTTAGTTATAAATGGTTTATTGTTTGGGTACACATTGTCTTTTTTAGTAAGTACATTGTCCACACAGAAATTAATGTAGCCATGTCTATATCTGCATCATTCAGAATATCCCAAGGGGGCACTAAGGGGCAGGCAGAAAATCCAAACGGGCAGGCAGGTTCGGAACAAGCAGATCAGATACAGAAACTAGAATAACGATGGAGAGCTTGGCAGTAGCTCCATCACAAGACACAATCTGGCAGGGATCAAGTGCAAGTGGACAGATATAAATAGTGAGGGATGTTGAAGGAAATCATTCAAGTTCAGTTCAGAAGTTGCTGTGGTGGTGTGAGTTTCATGAAGTATGCCGACACACTGGCAAACTTATAGACGGAGCAGATCTGAGCCGGTGAGTTGACCCAGAGCAAATGAAAAGCAAGCATTTGATACAGTAAACCTAAACTGGGATTAGACTGTATGTAAATAGTAGAGAACAAAAGGTATGGGAAGACCATGACCAGACATGTCTGGTCATGGTAAGACTACGTAGCTAGTGTACTGGAATGACATTTTATAGATTTCGTCAAGCAGGAAGTCTCCATTACCTGCCCCTTTTAATGAACCATACATCACTCATAGGACATTGAATGGATTTAACCGAAAGAGGTCAGCAGTGACCAATTAGCAATCAGATGGATCTGATACTACTTTGATATATAATGTACATGTCACTTATTAGACTACAATATTGTGAGCAATTACAGAAGCAATACTCATCTGGTGGGGATGAGTCCGCCTACAGGTGGGAGACTGACCATCTGGTGACCTGGTGCGGCCTGAACAACTTAGCGCTCAAAGCTCTAAAGACAGAGGTTGTGGATTTCCGGAAGAGTGCAGCCCCACCAGCCCCTATCACCCTGTGTGACTCCCCCGTTGACGCGGTGGAGTCCTTCCGCTTCCTGGGCTCAATCATAACCCAGGACCTCAAGTGGGAGCTTAACGTCAGCTCCATCACAAAGAAGGCTCAGCAGAGGATGTACTTCCTGAGGCAGCTGAAGAAATTCAACCTGCCAAAGACAGTGATGGTGCACTTCTACACAGCCATGATTGAGTCCATCCTCTGCTCCTCCATCATGGTCTGGTACGCTGCAGCCACAGGACAAGTGCAGGCTGCAGCGCATCATTCTGCCGAGAGGGTGATTGGCTGCAATCTGCCGTCCCTCCAAGACTTGTTCACTTCAAGGACCCTGAAGCGAGCAAGAAAGATTGTAGCCGACCCCTCTCAGCCTGGACAAAAACTGTTCATTCCCCTTCCATCCGGCAAGAGGCTGAAGTCCATCAGGACCAAGGCCTCACGACACATGAACAGTTTCTTCCCATCCGCAGTCGCGCTCCTTAACAGAGCCTGGGTCCCCCACTGACTCCGTCACTCCTCTGCACATCCCTTCTAGGTTCTTATTTAAATACACTTGACACTTTTACATTACACTTACATCTCACTTGTTTATAGTCCTGTTCGTTTGTGCACTTTATTTTATGTTTTTCTGTAAATTTTTCTGTTTCTACTTTGCACTGTGTTGATTGTTGTTGAGTGTTAAGTTATGCACCTCCCGTCATGTCAAATTCCTTGTCTGTTACCATGGCAATAAACGGTTCTGATTCTGAAGAGTCCTGATGATCTAGACAGCTAATATCATGATTG